CCCCCTCTCGAGTCAGTGTATTGACAAAAATCTGCAAACTGGGTTCTATAAAGACCTCCACTAGGGGTCAGAATTAACCCCAAATCAGCGATTTAAAACAAAACGAAAATGGCTCAGTCAAACAATCTTTTACAAATATACAATGCCATCATTGATTAAAATGAACATAGGAGTGATTAAAACAGCATTTTCAAAGCAAATTAAAGGGCAAGATGTCACTTTCCATCAGCAGATTTAGAAACTCACAGATGAAAGAAGTCTGCATGGATGAGGGAATAGGTCAGTGGGGCACATTCTGTGTGCAGGTAGTCTCATCTCTTAGTGTAAGACAAACTTGACCCATAACATGTAATAAGTTGCCATAGTAACAACACCAGATAACATGGTCGGTATGGAGATGTCCATATCTGGCTAGTAACAGTCCCGCTATCATGCTCTGTCTGGATCAGGTCGGCAGTGCCTTGATTGGCACGTCTATGCATAAGAAGAATGGCAGAATTGACTAGGTAAAGGGCTCACTTGACATGTTCGGCACTGTGAGAGGAACAGTAGTATTTTTTGTGTGCAATGAATGTGGAGAGGCTGCTGAATTTGATGTTGCACAGCCGGCAGTAGCGGGTGTTCCCGTTCTGCAGAGGAGAGGCGAGGGGTGTTTTAGGCGTGGGCAGAGTTGTATGGACATGGTTTACAGCAAGGCCTGTCTTTTCAGAGAGGAGTGTGGGTAATGGGGTGTGGCCTAGCTGCCCCACCTCTCTTAACGTTTCAGGCACAGGTGACACAGTTACTCCTGTAGGGGAGAGGGCAGGGGGTGCAGTTTTTGGAGAACCAGACCCCACGGACTGGGTTTCTAGCGGACTTCCATTAAGCACAGGTGAGGAAGGAGAGGTTGCTTCCACCTTGATGCTCCGGCCATTCACACTGTCCTTACGGTGCCGAGGGCTTGGTTTTTTAGGTGGTGTGAGAGGAGCTCCTTCCCGTGGGCTAAGGCTAGAACTAGGACTGACTCTAGAGGACTGCATCTCCGAATGTTGTTGAAGTGTGAGCACCAGACCATGAGTCGTTTTAAAATGCTCCATCAGATCACAGGTCAGCGGTCTGTTGGGAGGGCAGTAAGGACACACCACTGGGGAGGTGCTGGGGGTCTTTGGTCCCTGCACATGTGGAGGAGGGGATTCAGAGCTAGGTAGAGCGGATAGATGCAGAACCGCTGCGGTTTTACCTGTCTGAAGCCCTTTGGCATCAGGGTGCAAGTCGACAGCACGGTTCTTTGGTGAGGTGGAAGCAGGTCTCTTCAACCGGTTAAGCTGTTCCATAGTGTGTGGGTGCAGGTTAGTTGCAGGGCAGTAGTAGGTCTTGTGGGCTAGGTAGTTCTCTATGCTATTGAAGCTAATGCTGCAGGCAGTGCACTTGTGGTAGTCAGTAAGAGGCAGAGCGGGAATACTGCTCCCTCTCTGGCTTTCTCTTAGTCTGGGTCTTTTACTCAAGTCGATGGGTCCGTCACCTTCAGGACTTGAGCTGCGTGTTGGAGTGGATACTTGGGGCAATGGAGGAACGGAAGGGCCCTCTTGTTTCACCCCCAGACTTGTTGCTGCCGGCAAAGCAGTGGCATTGGCCAAGGCCTCAGTTTGAGCCATGTGGATCTCATACATCTTCTTGCGCTTGCGTGTGCGTATAGGTTGGGGAAGGAAGGCAGTCTTACCAGAATTGGCCCGCTGGTTGGAGGGATCATGTCTCGAGGCGCAGTAGAATCGCTTGTGGACAATGTAGTTATCGTGGCGGCTGAATCGGATGTTGCAGGCCTGG